AAACAGTACGATTGACAAGGAGATATTCTGTTAAATCGATTTCTGAACGAGATATAGCACGTTTGCTAGCTGCGATGTTAAGCATCAACATCTTAATTGAGATTTGTGCGAATGAGCCTTCGTTTGTGAGAAATTACAGTGTTGTGCCCCAGGGTGGTGAGACACGTCGAGTAGATTCGGGATCGGTGGGTCGGGGATGCAAAGGCGTAGTGATGTAGTTTGGCAAATAAATTTAATGCACCTTTTTAAACGAACTTCCCGAGTTCTTATTACTTAATACAATTTGACGGTCGCGTAAATTGCTGTCGCAGAACCGGAGGAGCAATAGCCCTGTTTGGCGCTCTTCTCTGGTCTTTTTATAATCTATAATTAGGTCGTAGACGGGGGTGTTTGGACAACTGTAAAGTTGTTACATTTACTGCTGACCTGTCCCCAATATGTTGCGATATATTTTCAAGGCGACGCTTAGCGTAGCACTTGCGCAATCATAATAGTGTTGTAGCGCTGTCGAAGCGGTTTCTTACGAAACGTTTCGGCAACGCTAAGAATAATACTAACGATTATAACATTCCTCCCCCCATGGAGCAAGAAAACGGAAGGTCTGGAACGACGTTTTCGCCTTAAATTATAACGCTTTACAATTTTTATCATTTTTTGTTTTTCCGTTACAATAATAGTTATAATCGTTTTTCTTACTTACAACTGTACATGTAGGCTATGTCTACGTTTTAATATTGGTTTAGGTTGTGTTCTGATATTTCGTTTATTGCTACGTTCTATTACGATTGGTGAGTTTTTTCCATTTTTAATTTTCTTTATTACAATTATCGCAATTATAATCACTATGACTATAGTTACTCCGCTCGGTGCTGTTGTGTACATAATATTTTTATAATGTAGAAACGAGTTTGAGTTGTTTTCTAAATTTCTATATGTTTGTGTTATTCTGTTACTTAATTCTACCAACTCTGATGGGTTGTGTATTATTTTATTTGGTTTTACGTGTAGGATTTCGTTTTTGTTTTTTATCACGTTTAAATTTTTTTGTTCTAATGTTATATTATATTCAGGTATGTGCGTTTGTATTAATGTGCTCCTTATTATACCTTGTGCTTGTAAAATCTTGTCTTCAATTATTACTTTACATTGATCCTTAATGTGTATAATTCCTGTTTTGCTTATTTTCTCATAAAATGTTTTTTCTTTGCATTGAATATGGATGGTTTGCTCACTATTGGTGGAATATAACCATGTATTCTTTCGCGTTAATGCTATTACGAAGGTATGGTTAGCTATAATGTATTTTAAATGGCAGTTTTTCATATTTTGTAATGTCGTATACATCTGGATTTCACAAGGTGTTTCTTCGTTAATTCTATATATCGCATTTTGTTGCGGACAAATATATTGATTATTAATTTTTATACAATGTGTTAATTCGTTTTCTTGTAATAGTAAATATGTGTTTGTTTCCTGGTTAATAGCTACTTGTGTGTATGCAATGCTAGTTAAAGCGAAAATGTTATCATGGCTGTAAACCGGGAAAGGATGTATGTGTACTATTTCGTACGTATTATATGTTATAAGAGGTAAGTATAAAATAGTAAAGATATTTTTATTTTTGTAATACGCACTAATTGTGAGAAATTTCTTTATTTCCAACCAATTTTCTGTTTTAGGCGTGAATGGAAATCTTGTTCCTTTTGGTAAGTGTATTGCTACCTCTTGTAATTGAGACACGATGCTATTTATGGGTGTTAGGTTGATAGGTAAGTTTCCTAGCTGTATGTTATCTAAATAATTTACTATATCGTTCTGGTCACGTATTAAATCATTAAGTAAAGCAGTAAGTATTGTAAAATGTTCATCTATATGTTGGCGTAATATGATTCCTGTTTCCTCTGTATAGAGCTGTGTAATAGTGTTCCATAATATTTGCTCATTTGTTTCCAAAGTTTGTTCTAAATTATCTAAATGATTGATAGTTGTATTAATAATTTTGAGTTGGTTTGCTATTGCATGTTGTAACGTCTCTTGTTTGTTTTCTATTAAGCTTAATTGTTCGTTTATTATTTTTTCATCATTCGCATCCATTATTCCAAATAGTGATTTTGTTAAGGATCCTATTCCATCTACTAATCCTCGTTTTATTTCTCTTGGATTTTTATATATATTGTGCAATCGTTCCGTTATATTTTGTACGCGGTCTAACCCCTTTTTTACAATTTTTTGTGAATTTTCACACAGTTCCCACGTAATGCTCGGTTCTTTTTGTTGGTTACATACCTCTTGTGTGTTTCTAAGATATTTTTGTATCTGGTTACCTCGAATGTCTATTCCCTGTATGTCTATTCTGATTACTACCTTCCATGTAGAGACAACTTGGTGTAATTGTCCTTGAAGGTCATAATACACTCCAGGAGTATGTGTGAATTTGATGATCTCATACGGTGCCTTTGTCTCTGTTCCTTTTACTCTGAGGTTGGCACTTTTTATCAGTACGAGTGTCCTGGAAATACATTGGGGTTCAGGTGTTGGAATAGATATGATACCCGTTTTTATTGTTTGCATGTGTCGTATTTATGTTAGCGACTAATGCATCTATCAGTGTTGTTTCATTCCCTCAACGACCACGATGTCGTCTGTCACAGTCCCTTGTACCGTGCGTCCTGAGGTAGTGATTTTATCTGTAGCCCTGTTGAATATGTATATAGTGCTTTTCGTTATTATTTTGTTTAGCGGGAATGTGTAGTTTGTGAAGAATTGGATGATGTTTTTGACGGTTCTGTGCCGTCTCCTTCCTGGAACGTGTCGGGAGGGTTTCACCGTCCTCCACTTGGTCGCGGTCATGGTCGTGCTATTTGGACTCGTGTGGAAACACTTCGGCAAATTGGAGCTTCCCAAGTCGTTCTCCAGGACCGACCTTTTTGTGGACGTGGCAAGGGAACACCTCCGTTCTAGGTAAGTTTTTTTTTAATCTTCTAAGTATAACTTTAATCGGTTCGCGTGCGTACGAAGTGTTCGTCGGCCGCGTTTTATTGTATAGTTTTCGTTAGGGTGTTTTTCAATTATTTCATATGGTCCTATCCACATTGCATCTAGCTTCTTTGATCTTCCCCTTCGTACTGTCTCGTCATGAAGTAACACCTGGTCTCCTATGTCAAGTACAGCTTTTTTCGTGTTTTTATCATAATACTTTTTACTTTTTATTTTCTCCTCCTTGACGTGCTCCCGGGCAATTTGATTCGTTGCTCGGAGTCGTTGTTTCATCTCCTGTGCATAATCCTCAATGCTGTATGTATTTTTTGGTGATCCTAATATGGACGATGGTAGTGTTGCTTGGTGTCCATATATTAACTCAAACGGAGTGTAATTAGTTGCAGAGTGGGGGGTCGTATTGTATGTGAATATAGCATATGGGGTCCACTCATCCCAGTCTGTTTGATCTTGATTTATGTAGTGACGAAGATATTCCGTGAGTGTACGATGAGATCTTTCCAGAGCCCCGTTACTCTGTGGGTGGTACGCCGTTGTTTGGATTTTTTCTATTCTCAATAGTTTACATACTGATTTAAAAACTTTACTTAGGAAATTCGTTCCTTGATCCGTTAATATTTTTCCTGGTATTCCATATTCTAATATAATCTTTTCTGTGAATTCTTTTGCGACGGTGGTTGCCTCTTGGTTTGGTATAGGGACCGCTTTACTAAATTTGGTCAACATGTCCTGGAATGTTAAAAGATATCTATTTCCATTTCTTGTTATGGTTAGAGGTCCTACTATATCTAATGCACACTTCTCGAAAGGTTCAGTAGGTGTGTCTGTAATAATCATTGGTGCCTTCTTCTGAATGCTTAACTTGTTCTTTTGACACAGTTCACATTTTCTTATATATTGTGCCACGTCTTTTGTTATCCCTTTCCAGTTATGTTTTAGACGTAGTCTATTTAATGTGCGTTGTACTCCTTGGTGTCCTCCTAATGGAGCGTTATGGTATTCATATAGGATTTGATTCTTCTCTTCTTTGGTATAATTTCGCATACCGTGCATGTCTGTGTCTTCTCCCTCTTCTTCTTCCTCTTCCTCTTCTTCTTCTTCTTCTTCTTCTTCTCTTTCCTCTTCTTCTTCTTCTGTTTTAGTCGTTTTAAACGGAGCACTTGTTTGTATTACTGATACCGGGGGGTATCTGCTTAGCGCATCTGCGTTAACATTTATTTTCCCTGATTTGTGGACTATTTCATAATCGTATTCTTCTAATTTCAATCTCCATCTTATTAATCTAGATCCGGGGTCCGTAACGTTAAATAGCCAAACCAATGGTTTGTGATCTGTAACAATTTTAAATTTTGTCCCGTAAATGTAATGCCTAAAATGTTTTACGGCCCATACTATTGCTAGTAGTTCTTTTTCAGTAGTACTATAATTTTGTTCCGCGCGTGATAGTACGCGGCTTGCATAAGCTATCGGATTGTCTTCTCCTATGCGGCCCTGTGATAATATGGCTCCAATTGCATGATCGGATGCGTCAGTTGTCACGACGAATTCCTTTTCAAAATTCGGATATTGTAATACCGGTGTGGTGGTTAGTTTTTCTTTTAACACGTCGAACGCTGTTTGTTGTTGTTGACCCCATTCAAATTTTTCCTCCTTTTTTGTAAGTTTAGTCAAGGGTCGTGCTATTTTTGAAAAATTCTCAATGAATTTTCGGTAATACCCTGCGAGACCTATAAATGACTGGATGTCTTTAGTTTTTTTAGGCCTTGGGAAATTTGTTATGGCCTCTATCTTTTTTGGGTCTGGTAGGATTCCCTTTTCCGAAATTATGTGTCCTAGGTAGGTTACCTCTTTCCTAAGGAACTCACATTTATTTGGTTGAAGTTTTAGGTTACATTGCCGTATTCTGTGTAATATACTGATAAGTTTTTTATTGTGATCTTCTAGACTATTTCCATATATTACTATGTCGTCTAGGTATACCAAACATTTTAACCCTTGTAATCCTGTTAGGACAGTGTTCATTAGTCGTTGAAAAGTGGCTGGTGCATTTTTTAATCCGAACGGCATTCTGTTAAACTCGTAATGTCCCGTAGGTGTTGAAAACGCTGTTTTTTGCTTATCTTTTTCTGCCATCTCTATCTGGTGGTATCCTGCTGCGAGGTCCAAGGTAGAGAAATATTTAGCGTTCCCCAATTGATCTAGAATGTCGCTGATATTAGGTAGAGGGAATGAATCTCCTATAGTTAAATCATTTAACTTCCGAAAATCGACTACGATCCTTAGTTTCGTTTCTCCTGAGGCATCCGTTTTTTTGGGTACTACTAATAACGGTGCATTCCACTGGCTGTTGCTAGCTCTTATTATTTTATTGTCAAGCATTTCTCGTATTTGCTTGTCTACCTCTTTCTTGTGCTTTTCCGGAAGACGATATGGTCGCACGTTCACCGGCGCGGCGTCACTTCGCGTGGTGATTTGATGCTTTACCACCGCGGTATGCGTGAGGCTATCTCCTTCGAGAAAAAATATATCATTATATTCCTCACAAATTTCATGTATAATTTTTTTTTCTTCGTTGTTTAAATGCTCCAATCTTAATTGTTGGTTCAATTTTTCTGTTCGCGCTGTCAGTTTATTGCTTTGATTTTTTGTGAGCATGTTTATCTCCGCGGTATCATATTTCGGGGTATCTTCTAATATTACATATGGTGTAGCTATTTCGACAATATTATCGGTAGTATTTACTACCGTTGCTGGACATGTGAAATTGTCAGGTTCTACCAAACAATTTCCGATAAAAATTCCTTGTGAAATTTCTTCAGCGGGGATTACTCCCACTCGATTTATGTTTACTGCGGCACGTATTATTACTTCACTGCGCGCGGGAAGGTTATACGTCTGCTGTGAAATCAGCGATAGACTTTGTCCGGAAATCATCATCGTCCTTGCTTTATAATCAAGATTAGCGCGGTGTTTGCGAAGGAAATCTATTCCTAATATTCCCTCGTGCTCGATTGGGAAATCATCCTGTACAACATATAGTTCGAATCTTCGGCGCTGGTTTCCTACGTTGACTGTGGCGATTATTTTTCCTATCGTGTAGGCTTTATGTCCGGTGATACCCGTAAGTGTCAGTTTTTCTGCAGTCATAGGGGTATCATCGTCCAGCGTTCGTATCTTTACGAGGCTTATTGCAGATCCCGTGTCAACGAGAAAAGGTATTCTTTCTCGTTTCGCCTCCTTTATTGGCAAGATGACTAAGTCGAATCCTGCGTTTTTATGTAAGTTTCGGCGGATCTGATTTACGCGGTAGTCGCGCACGCGATTTTGCTCCTTTTTTATTTCTCCTTCTGTATCATTAATAAATCGGACGTTCCCGTTTCTGCGCGACGTCGCTGGTTTATCTGTATTTACCGCAGTGATAGTCACTGGCCGCGAGGGTCTACGGTAGTCACGCGCGGTGTCCCGTGTCTCGGTCGGCTTCCCGTGTATGTACCAGCAGCTATCGCGAGTGTGTCCGTTTTTCTTGCATCGTGTGCACCATGTGTCGGTTGCATTCACGCGAGAGGTTACTGCTGGTTTAGGCAGAACGAACCGATTTCCATATCGACTGCTACGGCATTCGCGTCCCTGATGCCCTAATTTTCCGCACTTTTGGCATTGTATTATGGGAACATCTCGTTTAGTGTTCGCGAGAGATCCTCGGTTATACCGATTTATTTCGTAGGTGCGTGCAGGAATCTCCAGGGTTCCTTTAATTCTTTCTTCTTCAATTGCCCCTGCTATTGCCTCGGCTAAAGTCGCGGGTGCACGGGACCGGACTATTGTTTGTAGCCTGTCGTTTAGTCCTAGTTGATAGTTGATTAGGGCTAACGATTTCAAGAAAAAATGAATGCCAAGTTTCTGCGTGGGGGAGTAGAGATCCCCTTCCGTTCCGGCCTCGAATAGATCCGTAGTTAATGATTCTACACGGTTTCCGTAAGTTCGCGCATCTTCTCCAGGTTTTTGATGCAAATTATTAAAGTCTCGAAGTAGTCGAGTTATTGATTTCTTTTTCATGAAACATCTTTCTAACACACCCCTGAGGACAGCAAAAGTGTGAATGTTTCGGTTTTTTACCTCTGTTAGGGCGATTCCCTTTAGCTTGGTGCAGATTACTGCTCGAATTAATGTAGATTCGTCAGCAGGATGTATTAGCTCAAACGCGTATTCACACGCCGTTAGGAATTCTATTAATTTATCATCCTGCGTGCCATTAAATATGGGGATCTGATCTCGCGCTTCCCTGATGCGTCGGGATCGTTCCTCGCTAACCGGGGGTAACCCGTCTGGAAAATGGTCACTGTGACCTTGTCCTCGTCTGTCTGGAGGGTATTGTTCCGTATCTACGTTAATGTTTCTTACATTTTGTGGGTCGTCTATGCGAGAGTTAGTTAGTAAGGCTGCATTCGTATAGATAGTATCGCGCAAGTCCTCTATACGCGCTAATAACTGCTCATTAGCGTTATTGTATATGTCAACGTCGCGTCGAATTCTGCTGATTCCTGGTTGAGGATCGTTTACTTCGCTCAACGGCTCTTCTCGTAGTTGAGCCCCGCGGGGGCGAGAGATTTCTTGATCTCTTCCGTTCTCCGCCGCGTGTAGGGTTTCGTCGCGTTGCCCGGTGGCCATTTCGTCAAATGAATCGAATACACTACTATCGTAAGAGGTTAAAGAGAAATCCCCTCTTTGCGAGACGTCGCTAACGGTATCGTGTGAGGGTAAATATGCGCGGCGTCTTGTACGTCGGATGTCGTTTGTAATTTGCACGTCCGGTAATATGCTATGGTCTATTTCTCCGAAAGGGAATTCACGTTCGGCGATTACGTGCTCTGGGGATTCGCGTTCGGTTTCATCCGAATAGTCTAATACGCGACGCACAAGCTCTAATGTTTCACGCACGTCTTCTAAAACTTCGGCAACTGTCTCGTTGGGATTTGAAAGGTGTTCGATAGTTAATCGCGCTGGTGCGCTGTGTAGCCACGATTGATTTGGTATAGGTTGGTCAGGAGTACCGCTTCCGCTCGACATTCACGCCTTTACGTGTTCGCTCGCATAAACTTAATCGCTTAGATTACAATAGTTTCTCGACTTACAATAATGTTGTCACGGCTCTTCTGTAGCTCATCGTGTTTTGGGTGAGTCGGCAAGTCGTCACTCGTTACTGGGTCAATGGCGTTGGGCAGGTCGCGGTCGCCGCTGGTGCAGTCGCCGTAGGCTCCGGTGTCGCTGACAACGTAGTATCGTAGGCCGTAGCTCCGACGGTCGCCTTGATTACGCTGCTGCTCGTCTTTCACCGATTACCGCTGTCCTCTGCCGTCTCTGTTAGCCTTGTGGTCCCAGGGTGTTGTCTTGGAGGGCTCTCAATGACTTTTTAGCTCTCTCCAAATGTTTCTTTTTTTTTTTCTCTCTCTCTCTCTCCTTTTTTTTTGTGTGTGTATGGTCCTTGTTAGACGTCTTCGGGGCTTGTAATAAATTTTTCGAGCTCCCCTTATTGTTTCCTTTTTGCTTCCTTGAGCCTTCCCGTCTAAGTATGTTGACGAGGCAATTTTTTCTTCGTGCTTGCGATATCTGGTAACTCTTGTCTAGTAACGTATCTCCCACGTCACTTGTTGGTTCCGACTGTATCGTCTTTTTTGTTTTTTACGTCACTTTTCTAACCCGTAGTTTCTTTTTACAGGTAGCACCTAGGCCCCGGCGGACACCGATCCCACCGCTGCCACCAATTTGTTGTGCCCCAGGGTGGTGAGACACGTCGAGTAGATTCGGGATCGGTGGGTCGGGGATGCAAAGGCGTAGTGATGTAGTTTGGCAAATAAATTTAATGCACCTTTTTAAACGAACTTCCCGAGTTCTTATTACTTAATACAATTTGACGGTCGCGTAAATTGCTGTCGCAGAACCGGAGGAGCAATAGCCCTGTTTGGCGTTCTTCTCTGGTCCTTTTATAATCTATAATTAGGTCGTAGACGGGGGTGTTTGGACAACTGTAAAGTTGTTACATTTACTGCTGACCTGTCCCCAATATGTTGCGATATATTTTCAAGGCGACGCTTAGCGTAGCACTTGCGCAATCATAATAGTGTTGTAGCGCTGTCGAAGCGGTTTCTTACGAAACGTTTCGGCAACGCTAAGAATAATATTAACGATTATAACAGTTGTTAAAAAAATGTTAACTAGAAATAATGAAAACTGTATTAAATTACTAATAAATATTGGTGGTCTTCCATTAGCCAAGTCATCACATGTGTCATTATGGCCTATTTTATGCTCAAATGTATTAAACAAAAGTGTATATCTCGTTGGTGCTTATTTTGGTTATAAAAACCTCAAAATTATGAGTTTTTGCAGCCTTTAGTTAATGATTTGACAAATTTAATTAACGATGGTTATATTCATAGCAATAATATAATTAAAATTGCATTATTTGGCTTGATATACGATGCACCGGCTAAATCTTTTGTGTTGAATACTAAAAATCATAATGGATTTCATAGTTGTACAAAATGTATCATTAAAAGGAAACACATAATGGTAGAAATTGTTTCCCATCTAAAAAAATTATCCTTTAAGAAAAGATGATTTATTTGCAATAAATGCCTATAAGAATTTTCAAATCGATTATTCAATTTTCAACGATATACCGGGATTTTTACCTATAACAAATACTCCATTGGATTACATGCATTTTGTATGTTTAGGAGTTGTAAAAAAAATTTTAATTCTTTGGATGATAGGACTGCTTTTTGTACGTTTAGGTACAAGGTATATTAATAAAATATCACATTTAATGTTTGGGTTAAGATTTAGTACGCCAAATGATTTTGTTAGAAGACCAAGATCAATAAAGGATATTAAACAATGGAAAGCTGTAGAATTCAGGAACTTTTTATTATATACAGGACCTGTTGTATTGGAATATGTTTTGAAACAAGATATATATACTACTATTTTCTTACCCTCCACGTAGCTATAACAATTCTGATGTCCTAATTTTTGTCAAAAGGAATATATCAATTTTGCTGAAAGTTTATTACATCATTTTTTTATATCATTTGAGACATTATATGGAAAACACCGCACAAGGATAATTTCGTTGCCGAGTTTCGAACGCTCGCTGCCGGTTCAAAAGTTTTCGACGTGGGAGCCTCAGTCTGCTCGGCCACGCCACCTCGCTGAGACAGTCGCATTTTTAACCATATCCGTGATACAGTCTCGCAATCCAAACTTTATATTGTAATTTCTCATAAACAAAGGCCCATTGGCACAAATCCCAATAAGGGTGTTGATGCTTAACATCGCGAGTGTATATCAGTTGGACACGGGGCAATTGGACACAGTCCAATCACAAGTCGCTGTTCCAAGGGACCCTACAAATGTCTCTAATCACACGGTGCTGTGATTGGCTGTGTCCAAATGCACCGTGTCCAAGTGCACCGCTCCCTAACATCGCAGCTAGCGAACGTGCTATGTCTCGTTTAGAAATCGATTTAGCAAGTTGTGGCATCTCCTTGTTAGTATTTGTGTTGTATTGTACAATAGAAAGCCTGATCTTTTATTGGTTAGCTTTAGGAAGTTATTGGTTACGCTTTATGCGAATTTACGCGTAACGAAATACGCGCGAATTTACACGTAACGAAATATGCGCCATGGGGACTAGGTATTGAATGTCGACTTGCAAAATGGCGTAACTTCTAGTAAATTACTATATTACGCAGGTTACGCTTACGCAAGTTACGCCGCATGAGGAGGCACCCTTATACTGGGTGTTTCCGATAATATCTTTCCGAGTCATTTCCCTAGAGCAGAAATAAGTTACAGACATCATCATCTACTATTATTATGTGATCCATGACAACTCAAAGCTACCTAATGCTGTCTCACGATTGCAGTGGGTTGGACAGAATAATACCGTGACAAATACACGAGATAATAATTTTGTAAAATTGTATTATTGATTATAAAATTATCTGGTGTTGTTTTCTAATAAAATTTTATTTATTCTTAATTAAAGTTATATAACCATTAAAATATATATTATATTTTTCAAATATTATCCTAAAATAAAAAGTCGCACTGTTTTAATCTATTTTTAAATATTGTTTTTACATGACTCGTGCAGGTACAAGTCCACAATAAATTATGCCATTAGAGTATATTAATGACAAAACAACATAGATTTATTTGCACAGTTTGTTTTAAATTGTATATAATTCTACAAACGTTTCTTAATGTTATTATTTCTTAACATTATTTGAGTTATTTCTTTTATATATTAATTCTCATTACAACTAAACATTTTTAGATAAAAAATGGATGTACTAAAAATATGGGAAATATTTTTTGATCACCCATCTGATGAAGACGGGTATGATGAAGATAACTTTCAACCTCCACGGGAACATCATATAAAGATCCCACATTTTTTTGAAAACATTGTCGTAACATATTCATTGACAGATAAAAGAATTTGAAATTTTGCTGTACTATAATAATTTATTGTTTTAAGTTCATATAAATGTTCTTGCTTTATATTGTGACGATGCACACCTGCATCGTCACTACTACCAGTCCCTCCGAACACCAGTCGGGTCGTGCATCGGCGCGTGCGACATCTTAGACGCCGCAAGGCCATTCAAAACATAGCGCGTAAACAAAACAATCGCGCGATGTCGATTACGCGAAGTAATCGATCGAGAGCGCGCGCCGCTGATACGCAACGATCACGTGTACACTCAGAGGCAGGTATGGTGTCCCTCGGCGGGTCCGTATACGCCTGTCAAATAGTCGAAAGCGACAACAGGCGTATACGGAGGGCGTACTGTACGTCTGACGTACAACGCGAGAGAAGCGAAGAAGGCACGTAGGGGAAGTGGTGGGAGATATTTCGATGTTGCATTCTTTTCGCACGTCGTCCGATCGAGAGAGAAAACATCAGCAGACGTGATAGCTGTTAGTGGTGTCCTCAATAGCTGTCTCACTCACTCAACGCTTGAATGCAGAGAATATGAGCGAGACAGCAATAGGGACACCGCGCTGTCTCTATAGGTGTCTCGCTCGCTCTAGTATCCATGTATCACGCTTTCCTCTTTTCTCCTTAGCAGAAATGCACGTTGTGCCGATGAATGACACCGAACGACAAAATTTAACTCTTTTGTTGTACGAATGTGAATAGTCATTTCCGATGTATTTTTGCCCGCTAAGCACAAATCCTTAGTTCAAATTTGGTTACCACGTTACATTTTTGAAAAAAATGCATCGGAAATGATAGATATATTTCGTCATTATAAGGTCATTAAGATGCGCATGTAATATTGAAATATTAAGATCTTTACAAAGAATGAATTTTGCCGACATATGAGAAAAATTATCTTCTTCTGAAAATTATCATATTCTGATGTCAATGGTAATGGACAAAAACATTTCACAATTTGACATATCCTACGGAATGGAATAAATTTTTTTCTTCGTAAATTTTATGATAACCATCAGTATAGATATATCAATATGTAATCATAAAGTATAGACCTTTCTTTGCAATTTTAAAAAGAGGCAGATTTTTTCGCAGAGTTTCGACATATCTAAGGGCGCGATCCATTGCACGTTGCAAACGCTTCGAAGTCTAAGCACTCAAAGTTACCCATGCATTTCTTTTAAACCGCTTAAGACCGGGAATACAATAGGTGTAGTAAGCTTTAAGCATTAAGAAATTAAACAATCCTAGTCGACTTTTACAAGAATAATCGAATGAGGTTTGCCAATTTCTTATGACTTAAAGCTTACTACACTTATTGTATTCCCGTGCTAATTTGACGTACTAGATGGAATGAATTCTTTTCATAAATCTTATGATAATAATTGTAAAATATCGTCGTTTTCTTACAAATTAAAAAAAAATAAGAAAGAACTAATAATGTTATAAGGCTCTTGTAAAAATCAATTTAATTCTAAATATAAACAGTAGGCATATAAGAGCCGATTTTTCGCTGGTTCGTGTTATGTAGGTTTAATGTAAAGAAACAATTAATACAAGTCTTCTATAAATATCACGTACGTTTAGGTCCTCGGTTCGTATATTCTTCAGTGTAAAAAAAGAGGACAGGACAGAACACAACATAAATGTTGCAAATTTCGCGTAAAGCAAAGTAAGAAGTCAATGAAATCAAGAAACTGTAGACCCCTTTATTATTGGACCGCCTCCATATCTATTACCTTAAGAAGCAAGAAAAAGTCTCTTAAAAAAAAACTTGCTTTAATTGGAAACTTGTATTAATTGTTTCAAACTTACATAACACGAACCAACGAAAAATCGGCTCTTACATGTCTACTGTTTATATTTAGAATTAAATTAATAAAAAAGAAGTTTGTACGACATTTTCCGCGGTGCTACGGCATTAAACCATACTTTATATACTAAACATTAAACAATACTTTATATAATCATAAAACCATAAATCATAAAATCATTATATAAAACCATTAAACAATACTTTATATATAATCATATATAATTCTGCAGAATTATATATGATTATATATAAAATATTTTTTAACAAAGCATCTAAGTCACTTATGCATTTTTAATCACTTATCGTCACAAATACACATACATGATGCGCAAAATGCGATCAACAAGTTTCTTGTGATGCGCATCGAGTAACATTAATACTGACAGTAACTGATTAAAAATGCATAGATAACTTTGAGACGCCGTAACTCCGCGGAAGGAAATCGTGCACTTCATTTTTATTCTTTTTTTATTTGCAAGAAAACGATATTTCATGAAATTTACGAAAAAAACTTAAAATGTAGTTTCCACTAAAAATATGTAGTTTCCACTAAAAATATGTAGTTTCCTTAAAATGTAGTTTCCACTCTTGAAAATAGAAAAAAATTGAGAAGACTTTTAATAATAAAAACCAAAAAATAACAAAAACCAAAAAATAACAATAACAAGAATGAGATGCTATACAGCATCTTCTTAAACCAGAGATGCGGCGCTTGGATCGTTTGGTAGCATGTGCTATAGGCAGCCTACGACGCGTGGTACCAAGCGACCCAAGCATCGCATCTTTGCCTTAAACGCAGTCTATAGCTATCTCACTCGCATTGTCTACACGTACAAACAGGCGAGTGAGACGCCTGTAGGCACGTTTAAGCGCAGTGTGAACATTTTATTGGCCCCGTGAGGAGCCGATCGTGCGGAGCATCGTGAGCGCATTTTTAATAATCAGTCCAATATCCGGATCGGTCGATCACTTGATTGAGTCGATTAGGTATCGAATCAATCAAGTTTGCTAAATAATTTGGTCGGAACCGAAGTTCTTCCCAAATTTCTTTCGCATGATCCACCAACGCTGCTACCGTCCTTTCCCTTCTTGGTTCCCATCGTTGAACCATTTGTGCCCAAACATTTTCGATTAAATTTAGATCTGGTGAGCGAGCAGGCCATTTAACCAATTGGATCTCCGGATGATCTCGAAACCATGTTTGCGTTTCACGTGAATTATGGACTCCGGAGTTATCCTGCACCAATCGGATCACTGGCATTTCCTCTGCGGCGTAAATTGCGCGTACTGATGGAAGAAGGACATCTTCCAGTACACGAATGTACTCCACAGAGTTCATTCTTGCGGGAATGACTGCGAGCTCACCGATTGCACTGCCGGAAATCCAGCCCCACATTGCACATGAAATCCTCCCACTCCTGTGGGTAGGCACAACATGATTTGGATGCAGCCGTTGATCCCTTGGACGCCATACGTGAGGTTGGTGATCGGCAGACGATACAAAGACCTTTTCATCGGTCCAGATCGTTGCCTCCCACTCCTTACGGCTCCTCACTAAGTTTTCCAAAGCAAACGCGACACGTTGCTCTCGATGTTCGAGAGTCAACGGAATTTTGTGGGCTGGACGGTAGCAACGAAGCCCAGCTTCGTTAAAACGTCGCCGGGCGGTCCTCTGGGATATTGGCAAATTCGCCGCATTGATGGCTTCCTGGGCAGTGCCGAAAGGTTGCTCACCAACTGCAGCGACTAACGCTTGGTCTTCTTGTGCCCCGGTCGTCCGAGGTCCACGATTATGAAGACGGTGATCATGCAAAGCATGATCGCCCCCTTCATTAAATCGTTGTATCCATCGTCGGACAGTTTTCTCAGAACATGGAATAGCAGCAGCAATTTCTGCTACTGTTCTTCCCGCCTGCCACTGCCCCACAATGCGACCTCGTACCTCAGGACACAAGTTCACAGGCATAATCGTTTTCACACTTTTTCACTATCGTCCACTTGATGCTGCGACACCACGATAAGTGATTTATTCAGAGAAAAAAAGGAAAAATATGAACAGCTAAAAAACCCGGTCTCCTAGTAACGAATCAACAAGCAACAACAAGAAAAAAGCGACATTATGACAAAATATGTCTATCATTTCCGATGTATTTTTTTCAAAAATCTAACGCGGTAACCAAATTTGAACTAAGGATTTGTACTTAGCTGGCAAAAATATATCGGAAATGACTATTCACATTCGTACAACAAAAGAGTTAAATTTTGTCGTTCGGTGTCATTCATCGGCACAACGTGCATTTCTGCTAAGGAGAAAAGAGGAAAGCGTGATACATGGATACTAGAGCGAGCGAGACACCTATAGAGACAGCGCGGTGTCCCTATTGCTGTCTCGCTCATATTCTCTGCATTCAAGCGTTGAGTGAGTGAGACAGCTATTGAGGACACCACTAACAGCTATCACGTCTGCTGATGTTTTCTCTCTCGATCGGACGACGTGCGAAAAGAATGCAACATCGAAATATCTCCCACCACTTCCCCTACGTGCCTTCTTCGCTTCTCTCGCGTTGTACGTCAGACGTACAGTACGCCCTCCGTATACGCCTGTTGTCGCTTTCGACTATTTGACAGGCGTATACGGACCCGCCGAGGGACACCATACCTGCCTCTGAGTGTACATCGAGCGAAGGTAAAGGCTTTTGCACGTAGAAAAATTTTAACTGTAACCGTAAGATCGTAAGAAAACTGACCAGAGTTGATTATTTTCCTTGCGTTCGAAGAATAATGGACTGTGATTGGTCAGTTTTCTTTCGATCTTACGATTACGGTTAAAATTTTTCTACGTGTAAAGGCCTTAAAGCCCATTCTACAATTGGATAAGCGTAGTCGTGAACGTAAGAGTCAACCAATTCGAATGTTTTATTCACTGATTGCTTTATTCTGATTGGTTGTCGTAATCACTTACAACCACTTACAACCACGTTCACGCAATTGTAGAATGGGCTTAAAACAAAGCGGATTCGGATATATAATCCGCGGCGCCGAATTAATCGAGACCATACCGATCCGGACCGTCTACCGAACTTGATGCTGTACAGCGGAGAGCAAGGACTATGACCGACTCGTTTCTGTCATCCGAACCTACCTAGTTTCACATCCTCGCGAGCAAGGACCAAAGCCAGTACATTAGCTGCGCTCTGTCGATCTTTATCGACTCTTGCTTGCATCCCGTCGACTCCACGAACCAAGACCGAAGCTAATAAGTTAGCTGTGCTCTATCGAGCTTTCTCGACCCTTGTTGTTAGCCTTGCTCTCTCGACGAGCGGGACCGAGAGTGAATACGCTGATACATCGGCTACTCACTCCCGATCTCGTCACCTGCGAAGCAGATGTACTCGCGAGTGCGTCTCTACCGCAAACGCGAAGACAGCGTGCCGTGCTGTGACACGGACTCGACAACACCACGCGGTCCCCGCGACCGACCTCGCGATCCGTGCGCGAATCGCGACCGCCGAATCACGACACGCGACCGCCTGCCGAATATCTGAGGCGAGCCTAGCCTTCGCGCTATATGCTTCGTCTACCGTCTTAGCTATCGCGGCATATCGAAACCGCGATCCGGTAATTGGCGCCGTCTCCCAGGAAATCTACTCGGGCGCGACTATTCTGTACAAAGGACTAATAAACGTTTTTGTTATTTTTATTTATTGCAATCCGCGTCTTGTGTCAGTTATTTAACGAACCCGGACTCCGGCGAGCGAATAATTTATCGGCACACACGACAACCGACACGCGGAATTCGGCTGTTACAATATGTTTTGATTACAATAAACTATATTAACATTATTAAAATAGATTTTAAATCTATCTTGTTTTGTATCATTAATATACCCTAATGACATAATTTATTGTGGACTTGCACTTGCACGAGTCATGTAAAAACAATACTTGCAAATAGGTTAAAACAGTGTAACTTTTTACTTTAAGATAATATTTGAAAAATATGATATATATTTTAATGGTTATATAACTTTAATTAAGAATAAATAAAATTTTATTAGAAAACAACACCAGATGATTTTATAATCAATAATACAATTTTACAAAAGTATTATCTCGTATATTTGTCACGGTATTGTTCTGCCTAACCCACTGCTTGCAGTCGTGAGACAGTATTAGGTAACTTTGGGTTGTCATGAATCACATAACAGGGCTGCTCTAGGAAAATGACTCGGAGAGATATTGTGTGCTTTCCACCAAGGAGCACAGGCGACACCGTGTGGTACAGTGTCAGACACAGTGCTTTCCAACAACGACACAGTGAAGCACAATTCGACACAGCATTATAGTAGAGTTCGAGTGTGTCTCCTAGTCATTGTTGCCAATCTTTAAAAGTGAATGAACTTTTTCGATCAGCGCTGGGACTCTGGCTATGTCCCAAAATTTACTGCCAGCATTGAAAAGCTATACTTAATGTTACATATATTATAGCACAGTCCTAAAGTAATAACTGTAATTTGTGTCCATACATTTTAAACATGTTTCAATGTAAGCATTGCTGTGCGAAAGTATTAACTCTGGACGATGCATCTGTTCATAAATGTTTTATTGGAAAAAATGTTTATGTGGAAGGAAACAACATTCTCTTTGCGAGTACAAGAAAATAATATATCTACAAAAACACCCACATAGCACGTAATGTTACATCAACCTCAGTAATATTACAATAATATTTTTAGGATATTGTAATATTACGGAAATATTACTGTGATATTATGTAATATTACGTGCTATGTGGGCACCTATGATTTGCAAAAATAAAGATTACTTATGGCTCGACGTAACTTCTTTCTTTCAGCATCTGATAGCTGTGATACAAATAAGCAATCAGCATGTATTCTTTCAGAAATATCTCCAGAATCTTCTGAGTTGGTTAATTTAAAACAACGTATGTGTTTAATGAAAAATTCATCATAAAAATAATATGATGTATACTATTTACTACTAATATATTATTGTATACCAGTATGACGACTATTTGGCATTCACATATGCTTTGTCTTTAAATCATGAATAATTCTATAAGTGATATGTAATATAATAAAGTGAAAAAAAATATAACTTATTTGTTTAGAAGCTGCTTGGGACAAACGTGCAACACTTGCATTACTAGCATTATATGAAGCAAATATGGAAAACATTGATCACCCTAAAAAGAAGACCAAAATATGGTCAACAATTTCCATGGGCTTGCTCGAATGTGGTATTCAGGTGAATTTTATCATAATATACAATATGCATATATCAAAAGGCTTAAAAATATCTGCTACAAAATGGAATAAATTTTATTAGAAATCAGACTTATTTTTATATTTTAAACATCAAGTGCTGTTAAAATTGTTATTATTGCACAAAATGTTCAACTCACTTCATTATTGCAGGTGACTGATCAACAAGTTCGTTGGAAGATGAATGCGTTAATGAAGCGATACAAAGAAGTCATAGACAATAATTCGAAATCGGGGAGAGGAACTATAGAATTCGAGTGGTTCCAGATAATGGATAATTTTTTGGGAAAAAAGGGAAGTGTAACAACCGCAGGATATACTATATCATCAAAAGTATGTTTAGAAAAAATGGAACCTTCTACGTCACAGTCATCAATGAAAAAATTTCAACGCAATTCTCAAAAAGTGAGTGAACAATCAGCAATAACAAATATGGCTGAAATAGAAAAGTCTTCTAGCAATAGTAACATTGAAGGGAATAAAACACTCACAACCCATGGCACTGGAAGTAACATTGCTAAAACAAAAATTGAATTAGAGAAACAATGGTTGAAACACTTGCAACTAAAAGAAGAACGTGATATAACTAAGGAAGAAAGAAACAAAGATTTGATTGAAAGTAAAAAAGAAGCTTTGAAATTGAAAAAGAAACACCTGGTTATGAAAGCAAAAGAAATGGAGCAAAAACATGATATTGCTATAAATAAAATGAGTGAAAAAAAGAAAAGACACGCTGACATTATGGGAATTGAAAGATTGAAATACAAACTTTTAAAAAAATTTATAGAAAAAAAGGAAAACATAAACATTGACGTGTCAGAAGAGTCAGATTGAAGATGTAGTAAGGACGGTGATTACTCGCAACAATGAAAATCCTGCCAAGTTTTTTAATACAACTATTTTATTTCTTATTATTTTTGTTTTGGATATGTTAAAATGTTTGAAAATTTGTTTTATGAAATAACGATCATAAAATGTTATGAAAATAACGAACAAGGTTTTACGAACAAAGTCATTAGTAATAAGGTCTGTTCTTTCGCTCTGCACTGCTGCACTGGTGCAATAAGTTAGAGTGAGACAAATATATATTTGTCTCACTCTAACTTATTGCACCAGTGCAGCAGTGCAGAGCGAAAGAACAGACCACTTGATTTATGCCTACTTTAGCTCCGTAAGGACTACTTTATATTCCGTAAAGCGCAATATGCGGGTATGTATCTATAATACACGTTAGATATCCTGATACAGGTATTATGATCTCTGTAAAAGTATAATTTTTAGTTTATTAGAAATGTTGTTCCTTAAAACAATTCTATTTTTATAATAATTAGAAATGTTGTTCCTTAAAACAATTCTATTTTTATAATAGTAAGATATAATAACATATAATTTGTTATTGTTTTAGTATTGTTTCTATTATAACTAAATAAGTGTTAATTTTGAGGAAAAAATAAATGTATTGAACAATATACAGACATACAAATTAATTTATTTATTACATAACATGTAACTCTTTATGGTCTACTTTATACCGATTGTTTGATACGTGTGTTAAAAAGTAAATAACTAGTAAATTAGTAACTCATTCAGATGATCAGCTCCAAATACTGATACGAGTATCAAGTCGTCCACATCGCAAATAGTCGTCCATAAAAAGTTTATACTAAAATTAATTATATTTTCGTTGGAATGAAACTAAAGCACTGAATTACAAAAAGTAGCAAATAACAAAAAGAGTAAAATCATTGTTTGTATAGATTCATTAACAGTTAGGAAACATTTCATAAAATAATTCAGTTCTACGGTCCATCCCAACTGTTCTATTATCTATTGCTTCTTGTTCAATGTCATTCGTAATTACACTGGTAGAATCGTTCAAATCTTCTGGAAAATCGTATGTATCATTTTTCTCAAGACAGTAATTATGTAATATACATGCTGCAACTACAGTGTTAATGACAAAAGGTAAATCGCGGTATTCATTGAAAAACTTTATGCGGCGAAATCGTCCTTTCACTTGACCGAATGCTCGTTCAATTGCCATTCGCGTTGAAGAGTGAATATAGTTGAACTCTACTTGTTCAGGCGTCAAATGCCCATTGTCTCGAAATGGTGGAACAAGCCAAGGTAACGACGGATAAGCCGAATCGCCTAACAAAAACGTCTTATCGGGAAATAATATTTCTTGATTCATAGATGCTTCATGATATAGCTCAGATCTTCTGAGAATACGAGCATCATGAAGGGAACCGGGGTCACCACAATACACATTAGTAAACCGCATATCTGCATCTGCAACTGCTTGCAAAGAAATTGAGAAATATTTTTTTCGATTGCAATATTCTCGTGCACGGTTTACAGGTTTTTCTATTCGGATATGTGTTCCATCGATCGCCCCTAAGACTTTCGGAATACCTTTCTTTGACAAAAAATGGTCACTTACAACTATAGCTTGAAGGCCCTGTGGCCATTTGATCATTGCATCCACTTTTGTTACTAGCCAAGTTACTACTCGCCGTAGAACTCGAAATACAGAAGAAATTGATATATAAAATCTGTCTGACATGGTTCGCAATGGTTCTGTGTTTGCGATATACCATAAAAATAATACAAAACTTAACTTTGCAGAAATAGGTTTGACTCCAAAAGAATGTGAGGGTATAAAACCAGATAACTCCAATTCATCTGGAAATAAAATATCACTGTATAATACCATTGTAATTGTACAACTATTAAACACTATATATAATGCACAATATATACATATATATATTTATATTACCAATTAGTTTTGACGCAGTGTACCGATTTAGTCGTAAATGTTGTTTATATTCTTCATCAGTCCAAGAATCAATAATCTGAAAGTAATTTTCAATGCGCTGTTTCTTTTTACCACTTGTCAAGTAAAGCATCAATGGGAATAATAATAAGTCATCATCTCTCTCATCATTACTACTAGATGAACTTGCACTGTCTTCTGTATTGTTTGATTCGCTTATAGTACTGTCTATTGAACTACTACTGCTGCTAAAATATGTTTCAGCAAGTTGATAAATAATGTTATGATTGTTGTCCATTTCTAAAATAAGAGTACATATATATAAAATAAAGTTATATATTAAAAATAAAATATATACTTTGAAAAATATAGTTTAAAAAAATAGTATTTTCACTCAAATATACAATCAAATGTTAATGAACATTTTTCTGCAAACGAGATAATTTTATATAATACATAACCTTCTTACTTTTCTCTCTCTCTCTCCCTCTTCTTTATTTTACTTGTGTTACGTCCTGTGCAGACATGAGTCATGCACTCTATCTTTG